AGGGGCCTGAGAAAGGATCTGTTCCAAGCTTGTCTTCTTGACTTGTAAGTGGCTGTCTTCTTCCTGTATCTTCACATTGTCTTCTCTCTCTCTATGTGTGTCTGTGTCCAAATTTCTTCTTCTTATAAGGACACCAGTCATATTGGAGTCCACCATAATGACCTCTTTTTAACTTAATTACCTCTTTAAAGACCCTATCTCCTAATACAGTCACATTCTGAGGTACTGGGGCTTAGGACTTTAACATATGAACTGAGGTGGGGAGCATACAGTTCATCCCACAGTATCACATATGACTGTGGTGTATCCAAATCTTTGTCTTGTCTGTTTTCTCACATCCCTGAGGCACTCAAAGCCATTTGTACTTGCCTGAAAAATGTATCCAGGTAACCTGAAATTATGAATGATTATTGTTTTAGAAATGATTTATTTTTAATTAATATTAAAAGAAAGATCTTGGTTAGGGAGGATTAATTTACTTGGAATGTTGCTTCATCTAGTGTCCACCATATTCTACTACTTTTGTCAAAGTTATAAAAATGAATAAAGGGGAACTATGTTGGAAAAAGGGTTCATTGTTCAACAGTTTATTATTCACAGGGCACTAAGGATTCATGGTAAAAAAAAATATATATATTTTTTCAAACACTGTATGTGGAAGGAAAATGAGGCCTATATAATGACATTTTTAATAATTCAAGTTACCATCGCTTACCATCACCACCAATTACTATTTATTTTTATCCCTTGAGGAAACTGAGACTGGGTTCAATCACTTGCCCAAGATCTCACAGGTTAAAAATGGCATTTGCCACAAGTCTATATGACTTCAGAGTTTAAGCTTTTAATCATTCATAATAAATAAAAAGAAACAAAAAGACTCAAACATTTCATAATGTATTCCTCAGAAATGACACATCTAAGCATACACCTAAGTGGGTACTCAAGTTTGCCTTTAATCTTGATAAACACTTAACTTTTATACTGAAATGATACCTCCTTGTTCAGTGTTTGTATACTGTGTCAAAATGTGTTTGTCTGTTTTAGCTATTGAATTTATAAAGGACATAATCCACAACCAGGTCAGTATTTTATAGTTTATTTCATCATACATCTTGAATTACATCAAAAATTTTAAACAACTTTAAAATTTTGGATTTCTTTGTAATTAAACAAATAATTTTTGTTTCTGTATTGGATAAGTTAAATGAGGTGGCTAAACTGCCTGGAGACATCAAGAAAGGCTTCGGAGAGCTGAGTTTAGTAGGATAAATACAAATTAGAAAAGGATGTTTTTGGAATATAGAAAAGCCCTGGTAAATGCATGAGTATGACAAAGCTTGGTATTTTGGGGGAAATGGAAATAGTAAGATATGCAGGAAGCGGAATTGATAAGAGATGACAATGGACTAAAAGACATATGCCAAACAGAAGGTAATTATGAAGCCACTGAAAAATCAAGAGTTGTAGAATAAACATATTGGACTTATTAAAAGATTATGTAATAGACCATCTGAATAGGCTTAAATCTATTGAAGAAATTGAATCAATAATTAATAACCTTCTAAAACAAATCACCAGGCCCAGACGGGTTCACTGGTGAATTCTACCATATATTTAAGAAATTGTACCCAT